AAGAGCATTTTAATAGGTTAAAGAAAATAAGTGTTAACAAGGTGTGAGTGGACATACAACTGACAAATGGAGGCGATTCGGAAAAGAGCTGAGGGTATAGGATTATGTGTGATTATAAAATAAAATATAGTGCGAAAAACAGTATTGTGATATACAATTGGCTGTCTTCCTTTTATTATCGAAGCTATTAGAGCCCCTTTCGTTTTTTAAAATATTTCCCCCCCCAGTCATTATAGGGTCTTGAGTAGGCTTCGTATATTAGCGAATTGTCTAGTTTGCTTGTAATAGGATTTCTGGGCAGGAAGTGAAACCAATTCAACGTTCGTAACACGATTTAAAGAGGTATTTTGCGTGACAAGTCAGCATCAATACCATAAGTTCGTGACATCCCACTAAGCCATAAGGAGCCGTAATTAAACAAAATGTTCTGCCCTACAGACATGGGTGGATTGAAGTTATCTCCCCACCTTCATGTTTGCTGGTCAGTAACGCTACCCTCCCTCCTTTTGTGATGTCAGGCTCTCTTACGTTTGTGGTAAGTATGAATACTGCTTTAATCAAAGCCCATAGTTGGAATACACTGTCTCTACTAGGTCCATGTTACAAGCAAATCAGATAGTTGAAAAGTCTTTTATGGGTTAGATGTCCATATAGTATATCACACTGCTATGAAAATAACTAATGGTTTAAAGAAGTAAGGACTAATAGCAAATCGAAAGATATGAGAGGGTATAAAATTGTAGAAAAGAAAAAAAAGATTTCAGGATAAGACAAATAAAACATTGAGAAACTCACAAGACTTTGTGGCCAAATTTTGAGCTTTGAATGATCGGCCTTAGTAGATCAACATCCATAAGATTGAGCTATCTGTCTACTTGCAGTAGAAAAAAAAGGCATGACTTTTAGGAAGAATAATGTACATTTAACCTGTAGAGATTTGGTAACTGAAAGCTAGGGTTAGGAGCATGAAGTCATGATTAATAAACAATGAATAATAGGAAAGGATAAGCCATATATTCTGTGATTTGTTTATATTCATATTAGTAACAGTCGGACTTGTTATAATTTTGTTCTTTCTAGATACTAGGCGGTCCATAATAAAGTGCCTCATTGGTGGGCGGGAGTTCAAGGAAATGTTGAAGCTCTTTGGAGTCTAGAAATAGGGTTATTAGCTTTTTGAATCTGATAAACGTATCACAATTACGGATAGGCATTGGCAGCCTGTTCCACAATAAACTGTACCGTACTGTAAAGAACTTACAACGCATTTGTTTTTGGTGTTTTACGGTAAGTAGTGTATATGCGTTGTTTCTAAGTCTATAGGCTGGGTCGTGGGTGATAGTCGGGCAGGAGGTTAGAAAGGAAAGCCCATATATCGCTTTGTAGAGAAATATTAAATTGTTTTTTAGCCTACGGTGCCATAAAGGTTCTAAAGATAGATGCTTACATCTGTCTGTGTAATCGAGATTCGAGTTACATTCTAGTAGTTGACGTGTGAAGCGTCTTTGAACATCTACTCTTATCTTGTCTGTGATATTCATATTAGAGAAGACAAAAGAGCAGTATTCAAGGGAGGGTCGTACACATATTTTGTAGAGAGTATGCGGTGACAAGAGCATCTCAGAAGTGCAAATTTTACGGCAGGATACGAAGTATAAAGTGTTTTTCCCAATCGTAGCAGTTGTTAAACTCTATGACATCTCAACGCGAGGACGTTTCGCGACATGAAAGACAAGATACTTAAGCGTTATAGAAGACAACCAGAAAATGTATGTACCAATTTCAAGTCATAATCAGAGCTTGTAAGTGAATAGAGGGTGATAAAATAAAACGAGAATATCTGAGAAGATGCCGTGAGCGGGATACCCAACAATATGTTCGTGACATAGAATTTTCCCATGCTCTGTTCCGTTATTGCTTGTTTACTCGCATGCCTCATGAGTTACACTCAAGTCAATAATAAAGGAACGAGCAACTCCGAAGAAAAAACCAGAGTTAATCAAACCTGATGAACTGCTTCTCTGTTTATATAAAATAATCAAGTACCAAAGGGAAATGCATAAGTGGAATAGATGTATATTCGACACCACACATGTATTTGGTTTCCATAATGGATTGGCAATCTGGAAAGAAATAGACAGTATTCATCATGGTCACGAAACTACACTAAACAGAAATTTACTTCTTTAACGAGGAAAATGTATCTAAATGTAAGCTACAGATAAAATGAAGATATTTGACTTATCAGAAACTGTTATATTGAATATTAATAATTTCATTTTGTTTTTGGATGCATTTGTTTTACTCAACATCTGGACTTGTTTGTTCATATTCTTGTCTTTGGTTTTGTATTTGTGAGTTTTTGTTCAGAGAACCTAAAAAATTGAAGGTCTATTTCGTAATTCCTGTACTTACTATTAGAACGATATTTGGGACGATTACTTGTAAGCTGCAAATAAACTCTGGTGGCTGAATCGGAGTTTGATTCTATTGTTATTTTAGGTTCACAAGTTATGAGTAGATCAACATACTGTGCCTCAATAACGAAAAAGAGAGCAAAAACTTGAAAATAACAGTATGAACCTACCAGACGTTTGATTGATCACTAAACTCGATAAGATATTTGACCCTGAGTCGGTGATGACCGCTTTTTATAACCGGGTTCGTAACCGCAAGTACTGAGAGTATTTGCTGACCCGGGGAATTAGGTCGAATGATTAGGAAAATAAATAAAGACCCAAAATCCCAATTTTGGAGGGAAACCACAACGTTTTTTTTCCTTAAAATTTCCACAAAATTTGGGTTTTTTTCTCCCTAAATGTCCCCAAACATGGGAGCTCGGGTTCGTCTTTATTTTTAAGCGGCTTAATCTTTTTTGGATTCATATAAATTAAGAGTTTTATTCCAGTTTGCTGACAGGCTAGATCGTACGAATGTTACCGATGAGTTCACGGTTCCTTTTGATATAGCTTATTAAACTATTCATATATATATATATATTGTCAGGATTATGATCTACCTTTACCAGCCCAAGAATTCAAAAAACCACCACTGATGTGCACAACAGACGTCGAATTCCAGTTTAATAACACCACATATCGTCAAATCGATGGCGTAGAAATGGGAAGTCCACTAGGTCAAATTATGGCAGATATATTTATAAGGTATCTCGGAAACGCAGTGCTTAAACCGTTGATTAGCGAAACGACAGAATACTCCAGATATGTCGATGGCACGTTTATTGTCTGTAACAATAAACAGCATGCAATCCACCTGCCAAAACTTCAATAATGTTCATCCTAACATCCAATTTACTATGGAACACGAACAGAATGCGACATGTTCCACTTAACGTTGCCATAAAATGTGGAGGAGATGGGACATTTCAACGTTCTGTTCATCGAATTTCAATAGCTTTTGTCTGATCAGCTATAAGAAGGCATTGGTTAAAATACTATTTTATAGGGTAAAAAGGATACGTACCCAAGACAAACTAGAAATATTGATGAACGTGCAAAAATGCCTAATTTAAAAAATGTAAAGAAAACAAGACGGGAATAACTATGGTCAATAAAAAACCAATGTCTGTAAATCTTAACTTCAAAGGTGGTGATGTCGCTAACATAATCGGCAGGAGACTGAACACTACGCCAGACAAACTTTTAATTCAGTATAAATCATACCCAATAACCTAGTCAAATGTTGACAAACACCCCTTAAATTTTACCGCCAACTGTACCCATAAATTTACGAGTACCTGCCAAGGCAGCTACATTGGCCGAACAGAAAGGAGGGCATGTCTTAGACCAGGTTGACACCTCGCAGTTCTTCATGGTAATTAGTAAGCAGTCAAACTCTTCTTATGCAGTTGCTATTAGGCGTCAAAAACCTGAACCATGTGTTCAAAAAGAGATGGTTATTAATCTATGCCTTGGTGACAAATATCCCTTCGCTGCATCTTAAAATTATTTTTAAACTCTCGTGCATTAATTATATAATTGAGTCTTATTTCAGTTATCTTCGGATTAGTAACCTTATTTTGTCAACTGAGCTCTACTCATTTTATTCCTATCAGCGCTTACTTATTATGTAATCACTTGTTTTCGACCGTTTGAACTGTTGTCACAATCAATGTTGTGGAATATTCTTTTACACCATCCATTCTATTCACACACTTGCTATACTATACTAATGTATCTTCAATATAACTTCCAACTAAACCCTTTCGTGTAAGCGATTGAAACGCATTATGTAATTATGATTTTAAATAAGTTTGCAAACAGCTGACGAGAACCAACGAAATAAAATGAATACATGGTGTTGTCAGGATTTTTGTTTTGCTCTTTATTACGCTTCATCCAGTTCATTTGCAAAAAATTCCTACGAAAATTTTAAGGACTATCACAACACGTCGAATCACTCAAGTACTTCGGAATAACAATGACAGGAGTTAGTTATCTTGGGATTTTTCTTGCGGGACGATAAAAATCGGGATTACTATGAATATTCTTTTGAGGTACCCCATACTATTTGGGATGTCCATAATTTCCGAAAAAGCAGATGGTTTTTCTTTGCATTTATTTATCTCGACTGACCCTTGTGGTTTATTCTTGACTTACTAATCTAATAAAATTCATGTACTTGGTCCTTGTTTGCAATTTTTGTGTTAGGAGTAGTGACAATACACAAATGCTCGAAACCAAACTTTCAAGAACGAGATCCGATCTTTCAACCTAGATGTTAAACCGAATGCCGTAGACTTTGGGCGACCACTTTACACAGAAACAAAGAACTGTGTCTTACACTGTGCAGAACTGAACATGTTAGTGAATGTCCCTTAAGTAATAAGTTGATCAGTTATCTTATTAGATCAACCTCCTAGTTAGACTGATAACCTTTTTTCTGCCGTGATATATCAGAAAGCATCGATCCAAGTGTTTTTAATCATTTTCCAAAACGCTTTAAATGGAATACTCCATCTGTAATAAAAGCGCAATTAATTATCGTATGGCAAAAGCACAACGGTATGTCTATTATTTAGATGTGCTCGGCATTCGCACAAATCTGAGAGTCAATCTCAGAAGCTCTTTGTGACACCTGTTTCCTAACACAGGAAGTACAATTGTATCCCCATATCAATGCATAAACAAAGTGCGAAAAAAGTAGCGATAAAATAGTGGAAGTACGAGAAAGTCAACGATACAGCTTTACAAAATATGTTGATAGAGAAACCCTAGATTATGTTCTTAATTGTAAGGTGTTCACATTTATAAGATGTGTAAAGAAAGGAGAAAATGAAGTATTGTGTCACCCTGGCTGATACACGGTATTTTTTAAACACTTGTAAATGATGTATGTGGAACATGAGTATACACAAATAGAGTTTAAGGTTTAGTAGTTTGGTCAGTTGCAGTTAGTCGCTGCTCAACGTCACGATTTTTACTGGCCGTGTCTACTGGTCGAGCCTCACCAAAAATCTTTGAGTTGCGTCCAGATAGTTCATTTGAATCTCGTGGTGCAGAGCGAGGTAGTAAATTAAGCTTTGGTCGCTCTCCTGTTACAGCCGGTTTAAGGCTAGGCTCCAAAGACAGTTGACTTTGACTTAGTGGTGTCAACTCAGACGATCCAAAGGTGCTTGTACGACTGACGAAACCTCTCTTCCAAATTGATTCGACATCTTCACCATCATCTCTAGATGTATAAACAAAGATACTCAAAATTAGTGAAGCATGCTCAAAATAGCGGACGCTTCTTGTTTAGATATATAAGTGGTAATCAATATGATGAGAAGGGGCTAAATCGACTAAGGAGGAATTGTGGTGAGAAAATATAGAACAAAGAGCTATGAAAGTGCCATTATCTTTTGTCATACAGATTTATTATATATCAGTTGGAATGTGGGTATGGAGCATAGTTTTCTCTGCCCTTTAATGACACGCTAGAATTTCCGACCAGCCTGTACTTTTCTCTACGTTACTGAAGTGAGAATCATTATTCCGGGTTAGTTAGGTGGGTATAACTCAGCACAGTGTGCACCAGTTCAAGTTACCATAAAGTTGCTTCCCGACGTTGTCTAGACACTAATGAGATTATGGTCATGTCTTCCAAACAAATCAATACTTATCGAAACATTCGTTTTGAGCTTACAACTACTTTAGCTTCGATTGTTTTTAACACTTTAAAACGTACTCACGGTCTAACCTCGAAGTCAACCAATGATTGTATTGTCAATTACTACATTTTATCCAACTGTCTCTAATTCTCATGTGGAAACTTCTTGATAATTAAATGTTATTAGATTGTCCGAAATGTAGGGTAAGTGCCACATTTTTCAGATCACCCGTCTTCTCATTACACTTATAGACGTTTTACATCGACTCATTGTGTGTTCAAGAGAAGATGTGACTTCACTTTATTTGCCTCGACGTATCCCTTAGGTCGCATAAACATCTCGTAGGATTTAGTTTCAAGGTTTTATGTTGATTGTCTCCAGTCACAGGAAGTCAATGTGATTTCACTTAATTCATCGATTAGATCATGGTTTTTGTCAACAAAATTTTCTGAGTAGTAGGTGTTAAACGTTATGAAAAGTAACTGGTCAGAGCGACAAAATAATTAATTACATATAAACTAGGAAGTGTTTCATTGACCATATTACCACATACCGAAGACCGACAGGTCTGTAGCCAAATCGCTGGCGCTCAAAAGCCATTTCACTACGACGCATCCCAGAGCAATAATTCTTCTCACGTACGAACCCACCTCGCTCAGACTATGACAAAAAGAAAACATTATACAACATCGAGTCAATGCTTGACAGTGAAACAACAGCCTTATTTCCGAATGTGTAGAAACTAGTTAATAACAGGAAGACATTGATTAGCACTCTGTTAGTTCGTGTAGTACCACCTGGAGATACTGGTTCACCTGATGCGACCGAAAAGCATTAGTAGGGAACTTAAGGTTGTGAATAAAATGCGCGCAAGGTACTCATCTGCCAAGGTGAATATTTGATTTGATAAGATGTACAAGAAAGCCCAGTCAGTCGCAACGTAGAACCCGGTACGTATTGACAGTCGACCCCATTTGCCATACCTTACTAGTACAGGAAAATAAACTAGTGAAATAAAAAAAACGAACAGTAAAAAAATGAGCCTAGAACCTGCACCATCGCAAGTGATTTTGAGCCACGCTATTCATGTCTCTGAAGAAGACCGATGAGACTTTTAAGTGAAGAGGTCGATGCGCCCAACAACCTTACTCCTTATGATTAATTCAGACACCGCGGTAAAGTAATCTTAGAGCGACATTTTGCATCTGGAGACAGCCGTCTCCCAAAGATGTCCGCATTGTTGCTTAGGGTGGTCAAAAGACTAGTTTGTTAGCGTCTTCAGCAAATGGAACTACATCATCTGGTAGTTCTATCCCTGAAAAGTCAGACGATGGAAGTGTTATTTCTAAAGGCATGTCTATGACAAAATGGGTAAATCGGACAACCCTGGCGAACACCACTTGCAGTAACCGATTCCGACGACAGTTCTTCACAAACTCCGACTCGATCAGTACTGTTCGAGTAGGGCTTCTAAAGGGTTAGTGTACTTTCTTGGCACGACTTTCAATGACAGAGACCGCCACAAGACCTCACGTTCAACGGGGTTGAACTTCGACTCAGGGTCAAAGGATACAACTGTAGTCGGACATCGGAAGATACGTCCGTTTACCACGACCAGACGGACTTTGAATATTTAGTCTACACATCCAGGTCTGAAACCACCCATGTTTTCTCGGATTTGCTCTTTATGAGCTCTGGTTAGACATCGAAGTACCATTGGGAATTATGTTTCAGACTCTATACTAGTCAAACTAATTCCTCTGTGATTGTCACAAGAGGATTTCTGTCCTTTCTTGTGGACTTTGACTCAGAGATCGAGACCAGTCAAGTGGGATTGTGTCGAATCCCCAAGTTTAGCTGGGATCCCAGCTAGTCTAACTACTAAGATTGAACCACTGTCCTTAAAAATTTCAAAGGATAGTCCATCAGGCTTTGCTTTTCCTTCTCGCCTTAAATTACTTACAGCCTTTTTAACCTCACTAAGAGTTGGAGGACTTACGTCATTCTGCCAGTAAAGTTGTTAGGAGATAGTGGGAAACTGATGGCCAATTAAACTGTCCATGGATTGAACCTCCTAGATTGATGGTGAGTAATAATACCACCATTTTCCGATATGGTTGCGCTATCAACCGGACTTTTAGTACCCGTCTGCTCGATAAGTATGAACAGTTATCTAGCGTTACCTATCGCTGCTTTTTTTACTTCTTGACTTCGCTACCCACTCCTGCTCGCGATCATTACGTGGCCTTTATCAGCCTACATTTAAGCTCCATTCGCTCCTCATCGTGTTCAGTCAGACTAGAAAAGCCTGTTCTGATTTTCAGCTCAAAGCTATACCTACACCAGCAAGACCATGGGAAGTAGCAGTGGATCCTCCAAATACACGAAAGGTAAATCTCGCCAGTTCTTTATATTGACAAGGCACGACCGGATCAATGTGTATTTGTATCTTGTGTGCATGTTTCGGAGACGCAGCATTTATCTATAACACGAGTCTTAGCTAAAGAAGCCTGTTGTCCTATCCGGCACAAGGTTTGAACATTAAAAGCTCTAACGTATGGTTTAGAGAGCAGTTTTAGGAAACTGGGGATAATCATCAGCAGTCCTTTTTAAATGACCAATAACTTTAAAAGCGAAAACATTTAAAATTGTAATAGTGTAGAAATTTTGTAGATGTCACTTCACTTTGAAACACTTGGTGTAATCCTCAACAACTTATTTAACAAAGTGACCTGGTATGGTTGGGATTATCAAAGCTGGACGGCAGTTGGGAAGACTTACTCGGTGATAGCAGTACTCTGTATGACGAGAATCTCACTTTTATGGATCGCTAAAATTTGACCACTCCACAACGTAGAACTTTGCACAGGTATATCGGTTTTCGTTAATACGAAGAACAGTAAGAACGAATGTGATGAGAAGTGAATAAGTAACAATATCGATGGCGTAATTACAATAAGTGCAGAATATGGGAAAGAATAATAAAGGTTGAGTAATATAAGAGACTATACAAATTTAGGGCTTAGATTAAGTTTGCGAGAAAATATATATTAAATACTAGTTAACCTATGAGATTAACAGTTAAAATTTGTCAAAGTAAACCTCACAGCTGCATTCTACCGATAACATATGATTATATAAATACTTCAATCTCAAAATTCAATGGAGATACACTATTTTGGTGGAGTTTTGTTCTCTGAGCTGGATGGAGATACACTATAATGATTTTTGGCTTTACTACTAGTTCGTCATAAACTTGACTTTTTTAAATAAGCAAAAAAGTAGTACTTGAACAAGAGCACAGTTAAATTGTCTTACCTGAAGTTACCTTAAAGTTAACAGTTGCTTAGATAAAATTGAATTTGTCTGCAAGGGCAAGATATGGCAGTGAGTGCACAATGCCTAGTCTTTCTTAACGATCAATTTCTCATTATTCTTAAAAGGATTTAAGAGAAACTCGGAGAATTAATATTAAAATCCACCTTACGGAAACTAGGGAATGATATTGTTGGCTGTGTGTACAATTAAAACGAATTGTGCGACAAACTACTAAGAACACTAACAAAAACCCCTTGAAGTTGAAAAAAATTGATACAAAGTCTTGGGAACATTAAGGCAAGAGATTTGAAAATCTCAGTGGATCAACGTAACCTGAACTTACCGTATAGTGAACAAGTTTGCAAGACGTTAGCGCAAAATACTTCAGGATACTTTACTTACAAGTAAACTTGAATTGAGTTAATGATTCACACATAGTAAACCCTCAATGTAAGAACAGTGTCATATGCTTATGATGCCGACAAAAATGCCAAGTCATTTTCAGTTGCAGTGTTGACTGAAAAGCGTTTTTATTTTATGGGAGCTTTTTGAAGCCCTAGACTACAACAAAATTAGTGCGACCAACTTGTGAATATATTTTACAAATCTCAATAATCTACGTCTAAATAAGAACTTTGTTACTACTTATAAAATTTAAAATGGTGAGTAGCCTTGTGACATCCAAGTTTACAGACCTAGTCGTCCGAACTAATTTATCATGTAACTTGAAAAATATTGGAACTCGTAAATGTAGATAAAACTAAGACCGTGTGTGAAGAAACGGTAATCAGAACTGAACAGTATAGGGCCATGGCAAATCCGTGTGACAGTTCCAGGGCTTACATTATTTGGAGCAGCAATGCGGACATTGACTTGTCGACCAGCCAGAGATGAATCAGAGCGTTCAAGAGCTTTTGCTAAGTCATCTCGACTTGCAAAGTCAACAAAACAGAAACCACGAGACCCACCATCCCCACCGACAATATTAATATTTGTGACCTTGAGCGGGGAGAAAAAACTGGGAAGTTAGTAGAACGTGAGATAAAAAAAAGTTACTCAGCGACGTTTTGTTCTGTAGCTGAATACGATACATTGTAAACAAATGCTCTAAAAGGCTTTTCCATAGGCAGCTTCGCAAGTTCGCTTTCAACTGAAGATGTTGATGTGAATGTTGGCAATTTTGCTCTAATTTTTTGAAGTTCTTCAGCCTTTTCAGATGATAAATTGAGCTCTGCTAGGTTGTCTGTTGGGTCCATTTCAGCTATCTAAGTGGTATTATAGAGCAAAGGTTCACATACTGTGTTGCTTGAATACACAATGTCGACATCTACGCTCTGATTGAAACGATTTTTCTTCGATTTCTTGCCCATCTCTGCAAATCAAGGGGTCACATGTACCGCTCAAAGTGATCCGGAAAGCCCGCGTCAGGATACAGTGTTCAAATGGTTGTGGACGGAATAGAAGAAGCTTTCGCTTAACAGGCTTCCGTGTCTAGTAGCAGGGGATGACCAAATACTTCAGGCAGGAACCTAGGTATGTTAACAATAAAAGAGGAAAAAAAATGGTAAATCATAGTATGATACTGTCCTTGGTCCTTAAGAATAGGTCAAGTTGCCTCTTGAAGGACTCCTGAGAAGTCGCTTGGACTAGCTCGGCCGGAAGCGAATTCCAGCTTTTGACAACTCTTAAGGAGTAGAAGTTGTGTCTACATCCCGTCTTGCTATGTTGAGTTTCCAGTTTCTGGGTGTTGCCCCTTAGGTTAGTATTCGAACTAAGCTTGAGTAGGTGTTTAAGAGGATGTCCAGAAGTGTTAAGAATACTATAAGCCATTAATAAATCACCTCTAAGACGCCTATACTCTAATGGGTAAAGCTCTAGTGAATGGAGGCGTTCTTAGTAAGGCTTAGATTTGAGTCCGCGAACTGATTTCGTGGCTCGCCGTTGGATACGCTCCAAAGTGACCTTGTCCTTTTGGAGTGAGGGGGGGAGTACTATATTTCCGTACTCTAAATGGGGACGGATAAAACTATTGAAGATTGTATGGAAAGTTCTTCCGTCAAACTGGCCAAAAATGCGCTTCAATGTTACCAGTGCAAGGTTAGCTCGGAAGGCATTTTTGTCACAATTAGCGTAAGACTTTAAATCATGGGGCACCAGGACTCCTAAATCTTTTTCGACTTCAATTTACATTTCACTGAGGTATCCAATGTAGTTTTGTTACTTGTTATGACAGTTTAATTAAACTTTATAAAACTCAATTGTCGTCTGTGGAGATACTGAGTTGAAGTAGTGGATTTCTGCTAATCCTACCGGCTAAAATTAGTGACTGTTTACTTGATAAGTCCTTGGTGGACTCTCAGACAACTTCGCCAAAGTCCCAACGTATAGCCTCGTCAAATATTGTTATGAGTCACTCGCTTGACTCCCATGACTCTGCTACAATAAAAACGAATCGTGAGATACCAGTAGTTAACATACAGGATCTAACGTCACGATCGAAAGCTGTGAACACGGTTTCAAAAGAATCCAAACCCCTTCCTAGTTTAACTATTTAGAATCTAGAGGAGTCGAAAGACAATGACCCTGCTAAGAGCCATGCACATGATCTGCAGTTAGTGGAATCCGTGGTAAGAAATGTACTACCTGAAGAGATTCCAGGAGTACATATCACGAAATTAATAAGACTCGGTAAATGGGTTGGAGGCGAGAACCAACCAAGAAGGATCTTGACGCTGGTTCTCGGGAATTTCGAAGAGAGATATAAAATTGAAAAACGAACAAAAATTTCGTGATTCAAATATTCGTATCCGACCAGATTGATTGCTTGATGATCGAATCAAGTGGAGGAATGCGCTTACGGAGTTGAGAACTCGCAAGTTAAATGGCGAAACTAACCTTACCATCAAGGGTTTTCGGGTAGTTAGGTCTTGAATGAAATAAGTTTGAGGCTACATTGGAGTCTGTAACATCCCCGTTTATTCCATGGTCAGCACGTAAGCTATCACATTGCCCTCCATGGATTAATAGGTAAACCCGGAAGCTGTTAAAGCGTAGTAAACACTTCTGTGACTCATTCTTTTTGATAGTTCATGCACCATTTAAGCGTGAGTACCAAAAATTCCGGAATACTTGTAAGAAAACTATAGCTAAATCCCGTACTACTTACGAACGACAGTTGGTATGTGATTGCCGTACTTGTCCGAAACGATTGTTTTCGTATGTTAAACGGCGAATGAAACGTGATGGTATTCCCCCGTTACTATTACACGAAAATTCAGATTTACTAGCTGAATAAGATCGTGCAAAGGCTGAGACTTTTTCAAACTATTTTAGCGAAGTCTACTCTACGTTTATTGTAAAAAATACTTGTCCCACTCACACCAAGATGCCAGCCATTGAATCTGTACAGGTGACTGAGGAAACTGTCCTTCCGTTGATAACTAACCTCAAACATTGTAAGACACTGGGCCCTGACGGGTTACATCCACGGTTGCTGTCATCTCTTGCGGACATTACTTCAAAACCGCTCGCGACACTCTTCAACATGTCCCTTTCACTCGCTCAACTCCCTAGAGATTGGAAGGACGCTATAGTCAGTCCTATATTTAAGGACGGTCAGAGACATATAGTATCTAACTACCGGCCTGTCAGTCTAACTAGCATAGTCCTTAAGTTACTTGAAAAGATAATTCGGGTTAGGTTGCTAAGCGACATGGATTTACACAATCTGTCAGCTCTGGAGCAACACGGATTTCGTAACAAGTGTTCATGCTTGACATGCTTATTGCGAGAGAGGATTGGACAGCAGCCCTAGATAACGGTCTGTCTGACGGTGTGATATTCATAGACTTTAGCAAAGCATTTGACAAGGTTTCACATGTAGGTCTTATACAGAAGCTCGCGAGCTTTGGAATAATAGGTGCTGTACGCGAGTGGATAGGAAACTTCTTGTGTGACCGCAGACAGAGAGTGAGGGTCAACGGAACGCTATCCGATTGGAAGCCGGTCAAAAGTGGGGTACCTCAAGGCACCATCTTAGGCCCTCTGCTCGTCCTTCTATACGTTACTGAGTTACCGCCGTTATTTAGGTCGTCGACATTATTGTTTGTGGATGATGTAAAAATCTGGAGAACAATAAAAAGTGCGGCTGATCATCTGGATCCTCAAGCTGACTTAGAAGATTTAGTTAGATGGGCTCGAGGTTGGGGCTTCGGAATCAATTCTACGAAGAGTGTGCCAATACACATCGGTCACTGTAATAGTTACTATTATACTATTAATGGTAAACCTCTTCCATACGTTCAAGAGCATAAAGACTTACGAGTAATAATAAATCAAGACTTAAAAACAACTACGCATTGCAGCGCAGCGCTATCAAAGTTTTTCGTGCGTTGTGGTCACTTCACCATGCGTTCAAATCTTCTGACGAGGAAATGTTTCGAATTTTATATGTACGACCACATTTAGAGTACTGTTACCAAGCAGCTAGCCCATGTCTGATAAAGGATACTAACTTACTTGTGTGTTTCCAGTGTGTGGAAACCAAATTAGTGAAGGGTCCTTCTAAACTCCCTTACGATGAACGTTTAAAACGCCCAAACCTTTTCCCCTTGTCGTATCGTTGGACATAAGGTGACCTTATACTGGCATTTCATATCTTTAATTATGATTTGAGTGTTAATATGTCTGATCTTTTTGATCCTCCCAGCACTTATAATCTCCGAGGTCATAGCAAGAAGGTTCATAAACCACGATCTAATAAACTTAAAGTGGGATCCCGTTTTTCTCATCGAGTAGTCAATGATTGGAACGTTTTACCCGAACAAGTGGTATCAGCCCCATCAGTGAATATTTTCAAGGAGAAACTGAACCTTCACTGGAAGACAATCTGTCAGGATTAACACAGGTTCACCAACCTACTATCCTTATTGCTAAAGAATGAAGACTGAACATGAAATGTGTGAAGTGTCCCTTCATTCTAAAAGGACATGAATGCTCTGAAGCGCGTCCGAAGATTTACTGCGAAATCAGTTGAAGAATGTTCACCTCAGACAAAGTACTGCTCGCTTCAAATACCATCTCGTTATTCACTTGGCTACTGAGTCCTGATAGCCACACCTTGAGGACGAATGCCCAGAAACTTAAAGTAAAGTATAGCTAACAGGACTACAGGCGTATCTTCTATTCTTTAAAATTATACAGTTCTTAAAATTCTCTGCAGGCTGAAGTGTTTCTAACAGGTCCTCAAATTCGTAATGCCTAAAAGTATAATCTCACTATCGTTTGCAGATACTCTTTTCTGTTTGCTTCATATCCAAGGTGGTATTTGCGATCAACTACTGTATACGATGACCGAAGGCTACATCTAGTACGTCTACATAGCAAAGATTGTTGCTAGATTTACTCCAGATAAACCATTCCTAGGCACGATACAGTAAACTTCATGCGATTTGAGTGTTTGAGAACAACGCACTCTCTGCCATGACGCAGCCGATATACAATTCACCCCCTGTTTCTTCAACAGAGTCAATTTTCCTATAGATTTCAGAAGTCATACGATAGATACAATCGCCATTAAGTTCTAAACACAAAGTATTCGGGAAGTGAACGCTTCTCAATGTATGTCCGATTCGCGCTATTCCTACACACTAAGTAGATATTTCCATTCACGGGGCCACCATTCGAACAAGTGAATCTATATTTCATCGGACCGAGAATGTCGGTTTTTAAGTGAGATACTGTGATCGTATCTGACCTTAAAGGCAAACGCTAATAATCGATTTTCTACTCCCTATCGAACCCAAAACTACAGTCACCTATCATCGATAGGGTCAAATTAAAGCCTAAGTAACAAGAATCGCGAGATATTTTATTTCATTACAGAAGATAACATGATCGGAGCCATCGCTCTATGTTCTAAGCAGGCTGGAAGCTTTCAGCATGTTTCCAACTAAATAATGAGTAGCCAAATAAGAAACAAACTAATTGTCACTACAAGTTCGAATAAATATTCGAAGACGCACAAAATCAGACTGGCACACTGCCTGATATATCGGTCCAAATTGTTGTGTTACTCATACATTTCTGACTTATTATATTATGTGATATCAGTTTCGCCGACGTAGCTTTTGTTAGCCATGTCTATAACTAACCAATCAAATCGTCACTTAAGCGCCCATCGCGTCAATCTGGTATGAAGGATTATCCCTGTTGCATGTGACCTGCCAACTGTAGGGCACTTTTATCCTATCATAATTTTATTCATTTCGATAAAAACACACTGATCGGCATGTTTGCGCGTAACACATAATTCCTTTGGTTATTGTATTAATCAAATTGCTACTTTTAAGTTTGGAGACAGATAACTTTTAAAGCCAAGTCCTCCTTGCACTGACTACAGCTTTCATGTAGACGCTAGAGTCGCGGGAAAAATTAAATCCTAC